GAAATGGTTACCATTCTTTTAGATGTATACTTTTTGTTGAAATTTACTTTAGATTATAGAAAAGTATATATGTATATATTTCATTCCTCTAAATGAAATTACTCCTCTGAGAACCTGAGAAGCCCATTATGGGGGTAGGAGTTGCAGAGAGGTAATGTAATCTATCCACATCATCTATACTTCACTCCGCTGTAAATATGTATATACTAGTTTTTCGATTTTGTTTTTACGCACTCCGTTGAAAATTTTTTATACGTTTATTTTTTCGACTATGTAAATAGCTTATTTTTTCTGTTATTCAGACTTCTTTTAATCGCACTTGCATCTTATCAACTATTATTCAAATCTTTTTTTCTTTTTTGTTTTGTTTATATATCACACATTTTACTGTTTTGTATATTAATCATTCGACCGCATGTGCTTGTTGAATTTAGCAGTTTAATCTCAGATGAATAGGCTTGTGACGCAAGGCAGGTACCTCGATCAATACGCTTACATTAAAGCAGTGTTTCCTAAACTTATGACTTTTGTGTTCCCATTCTAAATTTTTGGTTATGCTGTATTCCTCTAATAAAAAAAATGAATGAATTTTTTACTATAAAAAAATTGCACAAAAGTTAAAAATCACAACTCGCTGCTGACACCACTACTTATTAACTCTGTTGACGCTGCAAAAAATAGCCAATAGAAAAATACGTTATCGTAAATTTTCATGTCTAGCTTAGTTTTTAAATAAAAGATTTTGAAATTTTCGTTTGCTTGCTTCATATTTCGTTGAAGAACGCGTATCCCCGTAAAATTGTTCCCGTATCGCTCGGGGTACGCATATCTTACTTTCGGAAAACACTGTATTAAAGCATTAGAAAAGGGAAACGAAATTTCCGTATCTACCACATCAAAATATTAATTGTATTGAAAATTTATTTTAACCCTTTCAAGCCGACTGTCGCAAATACGTGCCAGCATAAAACCGTATCAATCAGGGTAAAAAGATAAAACTGGTAATCAAAGTATTTCTTTAGCAGTTTATTTGTGGGAGGAGTTATAATTGTTTGATTTATTTAATTCACCACTACTTTGTTCAAAATAAAACTATTTAGTTATACTTTGAATTAACATTGATTATATATATGATTAAACTAACAATAATTAAAGTAAAAGCAAAGTAAGTCTATCAAATTAGCAACGACTATATTTAAGTTACCGTTTTTTATTTAATAACAACTTGATTCTGGTTTTGTACGAATGCTATTCTGAATCATCCGTCCCCAAAAGGTTAACAAAGTACGGATCACTTGTAATATAGTGTAAATTAGCACACATTTTTCTGTTCTGTATATTCGTCATTCGCCCGTTGAATTTGGCAATTTAATCTCAGATACCTTGATCAATACTCCTACATTAAAGCGTTAAAAAAGAGAAACGAAATTTATTTATCTACCGCAATAAAATATAAATCATAATTAATATAGATTTTAATCTTTCGATATGGATTAATCTTGATGGATTAGGGCTTCAAATCCTAAAGTAAAACAATAAATCCAATCCGCCAATTAAAACTTCAGCTGGTAGATGTAATGAGTGAGTACAGTACATAATGAGAATTTATTCTTTGTAAGAGGTGAAATTCAACGAACTTGACTCGTCTGCGTATAATCCAAATGCTACCTGCTCTGAAATCGTATCAGGCCTTAAATCTTTAATTTTGAGTTATATATGTTGCAAATCATGTATCAAGAATTTCTAGAATAAAGGTAATTTTGAAATGTACTTTTGCAGTGTTTTTTTAAATGCTTAACGCACTTGGCAAACTCTTAGGGCAAATAATTTTATGTTTCTGACTACTTCTTAATCTTATATTACTGTCACTTCAACTATTATAATAGTCCAAGACTTCCAAATAGGCTGTTTTGCTACCACTAAAAAAATCTCCCAATGAAAGTGCTGTTGTTAACAGCTCTGTCCTCGGCCTAACTTATGATCTATTAGTTATATACGACTCAAAAGAATACAAAATACGTTTCCAAAAAATTGAAATATTTATTTCCATATAAAGAATTTCTGCAATAAAGTTAATCCTTTATATATACCTTTGCGATGTTGCTTTTAAAAATTTTTTTACAAGGCCTGGCTTCTTATGTGTGCCACTATCACATCAAATACTATGTAAACATAATATGTTCGAATACTAATACACGGTATTCTTTACACTGTTTTTTGAGATTCCTATAAATTGACGCATTTTCTAAACTGCTCATATTATTAATAATCAAATAAACTAAAAAAAATTTTTTTTGAAAGTTATTGCATAATTTTGAAAAAAAACATTGATTGATTGAGTGAAGAAAATGATTTTTTCTTTCTTGAGCAGTCAACTCAGTGAAAGTTTTTAAGCAATTAAAAAGAAAAAGCAATGATAAAATTAAACACAGTTCCTTTTTCGTGATTTACATCAGCTAAAACCATGCTATCACACTAGTTATTTCTACAGTGGATTTGTAATCATAAACAATGCCTAGGTTGCCATATTTCCTAATTTGCAAAAAAATTCAGCTTTTGAACAGCTGGCACAATTATTGAATTTGTGATTATCAATGTTCAACTCCTTGTAATTTTGAACCCAATCCAGAACAAAAGAGAATTTTTGGATCAAGTTTAACCCTTTCGGGCCGACTGTCACAAATATGTGACAGCATAAAACCGTATCAATCAGGTTAAAAATATAAAACTGGTAATCAAAGTATTTCTTTAGCAGTTTATTTGTGGGCGGAGTANCTGAAAGGGGTTTTTCATTTAGGTAGATGTTCACAATTGCGTTTAACGCTTCTTGTTTAAGACCAGTACGTAATAAGTTTATTTATGTTTTTTTTTTTGTAAGTTTATTGCTGAAAAGCCTCTTTTAACCGCTGCATTACTCCCAGACAGAGAAAACATCAATTTCAGCATGTTGCTGTATTTCTAGATTAAAGAGTCATTTTAGAAGTGAGGCGCTAGACTCTTGTAAGATAACAAAAATGGAAAATGTATCACGAACCTTAACGGGAAAATGGCCGTCCGCGCGGACGTCGGGTTCGAGAAATTTGTTGTCCACAGGGAGTTTTTGACCGCCGAGGACGGGCGTACTGGCTGCTTTTCGAGCCCTGGTAATACATTCACCTGTGAAAACTTCAGCTGGCAGACGCATACCTGCCAACTCTTCCGGATTTTCCGGAAGATTTTATTTTTATATTTCAAGTGGTAGAAAGTATATACTATTTTTTCTTTTATTAACTTAATTTTCAGATGATTTTGATCACCACTATTCTTACAAAAATTAAGCACATATATTAATATGCGTTACTATCATAGTTGTTAACTTAAGCTTTCTCAAATACAGCATATTAGTTTGCTTAAAATTGAAGTTTTAATTCCATTTTAATACCACTGGGAAAAATGATAATGGAAGGGATTAAAAGTTGGCAGGTATGCAGATGTAATGAGTACAATGAGAATTTATTCTAAGTCAGCGGTAAAATTTAACGCCTAGAAGTTTACTCTTCGGAATACTTATGATCCAAATGCTACCTGCTCTGAAATAGTAATATTGTTTAGGTTTCTTTAAAATTGTATGTGGACACTTTTTTGAGAGAACGCGTTTTTAGTACAAATAAAGCATTATTTTGATTTGTGAGTGTAAAATCAACGCCTCCTATAACTAAAAGCCTCCACACGGTTTTTCATAGGAAGTCCGATCAGACCACTGTGTGAGAAGGATATCCACTTACTGAACGAGTCATTAATACAGAATATAGTTGAAATGAGAAAGTGGTAATAAATATATGACTAAAAATTTATTTCATTTATGAATATTACTGGTTTGCCTTATTCACTTGTCAACCACTGCAGGTTCAATTCTCAAATATATAAGATACATTTCTCTCAATTACTTTTATAAAAGGTTTTGGGTTCATGCCCACTACTGGTTCACTTTTTAAACAGTCTGCGCGGACTACTTATAAAAGACCGTGTGGAGGCTTCTTGATGTAGGAGGTGATGGTAAAATGCTATGGATTAACCACAATTTGAATGCCTTAAATCTTTTATTTTGAGTAACATATGTTGCAAATCATGTATCGAGAATTTCTAGAATAAAGGTAATTTTTAAATGTACATATGAAGTGCTTTTTTTAATACAAAATGTTTAACGCACTTGGCAAACTCTTCAGGCAATTTTTTTTTACGTTTCTGACTATTTCTTAATCTTATAATACTGTCACTTCAAATATTATAATAGTCTTAGACTTCCAAATTGGCATTATCGCTACCACTAAATAAATCTCCAAATGAAAGTGCTGTTGTTAGCAGCTCTGTCCTCGGCACTAATTTAAGATCTATTTGTTAGCATAAAAATTCAAAAGAATACGAAATACGTTTCCAAAAAAATGAAATATTTATCTCCATATAAAAAATTTCTACAATAAAAGTAATCCTTGATATCTACCTTTGCAGTGTTGCTTTTAAAACAAGAAATTTGCAAGGCCTGGCTTCTTATGTTTGTCATTATCACGTCGAATACTATGGCATGGTATTTGACATATCTGCTATCTCTTCCGGATTTTCCGGAAGTTTTTATTTTCATATTTAAAGTGGTAGTAAATATATACTATATTTTTCTTTTATAAACTTAATTTTTAAATGATTTTGATCACCACTTTTCTTACAAAAATTAAACTCATATTTTAATATGCGTTACTATCATGGCTGTCAACCTAAGTTTTTTCAAATACAACGTGTTTGTTTGCTAAAAATTGAAATTTTAATTCCATTTTAATACCACTGGGAAAAATGATAATGGAAGTAATTAAAAGTTGGCAGGTATGCTATGTAAACATAAAATTTTTCACTTTACAAATTTTTAGCTGTTACCACTGTAAAAAGTTTCCAAATGAAAGAGCTAATGTAAGCTGCTACGTTCTTGGAGATTTTGGGATCTATTTACTGGGAGTTGAAGCAAAATAAGCTTAAAGCAAATCCCTAAATTAATTATTAAGTAAAGAACTTCTACAATAAAAGGAACCTTTGAAATAAGTTTCCTTTGAAAACATTTCATTGTATAACTTAAAAAAACATCGCGTCACGTAACTTCTGATACATTTTTAGAAATTTTGCATTGGTGAATTAATGTCTTTTTTCTAAACCTAGAGGTAACTCCTTGACACTAAGAAAAGGCGTGAATTTCCTGTACTCCAATGGTACCTGCAAAAAAATAAATCACTGATTTTAATAATTTTCTTATGATGTATAAAAATCAATTAGTAAAATTAAAGGTTACTTACTTTTGTTGTTGAATGAGTTTTGATTCTGTAATGATGTAATATGTTTGCCATGCATAATTTGATCTCCATCAGAGCGAATCTCATTCCCAAACAGTTTCTTGGTCCTTCGCCAAATGGTAAATAAGCGTACTGAGGATGCCTTTGCGGAGATGAATCCATGAATCTAAAAACAAATAAAATGGAATTCGATAATCATGTTCTAAAAGGATGCAAGTGACATTATAGAAGCTTACACTTATAAATAAGATATCAGCTATAGTGTTTACCTTTTATAAAGTAGTTTATTATGCTGATTTCAAATCTGAAAACCTCTTCGATCTCGTACGACAGGTTTTGAAGATATCAGGGGGACTTTGGAAATTTACGTTATATTCCGCAAGCTTCCATCTGAGCGAGCTTTTTTTGAAATCTTACTAACCGTTCAGTAGTGTTAACTTGGTTTTACAAAGCTACTCTGACCCATTTCTGTTACAACTTTTTTAAAAAATTTTTAAACCTTCTTTCAAATTAACATAATGGCCGTGTTACAATAAGGTCAAGAAAAACGCCAACACAAAATAAAAATGAAGGATTCGTTATTACAAAATGTTAAAATGAATCGTATGATGTTACAACAATCAGTTGATTTAATTTTTTCAAAAAAATATATGCTTTAGTTTAAAATTTTGGTCCTCGAATTATAATAGGTCCTTAAAAAACTAAATATTTTTGGTTATTTGAAATTAGAAAATATACTTTCTTTAATTATACAATTTAGTTAGAAGAAGTTTAACTTCCATAGTATCCACGTTCGATTGTAAATGTTTGTTTTGTATGTGTGGTCGAAGTTAAGATAATATTCCACAACGACAGAGTAATTAAATTAATTAATTTATTTTTAAAAATCTCTTTTTCATTCACGTAAGTTTGATACTTTTTCCCGGACGCAACCGTATTTTACTGGAATTGAAGCATGCGCACTTCAGGTGCAATTATTTCAAATCATACGTACAGGGGGCATATGGAATGAAACATAAGAGTGTGATATCTACTCCCTTTTGACAAAAATCAATTTTCATGGTGCAGCGTTAAATTTCCATGAAATTTACTTAAAATACACATTTTTGCCACAGATACAAGGAGCTTGCGAAATTTTTTCCAGAATGAATAATTTTCACCAGAACCACCTAATAAAGCTCCAAAGGAGCGAAAAGAAAAGCAAGGAAAAAGAGCACTGGAAAAAAGCATAGGTAAACAGCACAACTTTTGAATACCTACATGAATTTGCCTGTCCAATAAGAAAGAATACCCTGACTAACGTCATAGTTGCAAGACTAAAATTTGCAACCTAAATAATTTACTGTTTCACAAACGGTAACAACAGTTCCGATTATTAACATTTTCATAGCATAGCATACCATTCTTTATGCATAGCATTCGCCCCCAAGAAAATTATTATCCATGTTTTTACCTTTCGGGTTTAAATATTTCAGGATCTGGAAAATATTCAGCGTCATAATGCATTGCGTAAAGTGGAATAAGTATATTCATTCCCTTTGTCACCACTATCCCAGTGTCTCCTAATTTGTAATCTGCAGTTGCTACTCTACCTGACCTAAATAAGGAAAGAAAGAAAAAAAAGAAATTGTCTAAATGGAATGCTTTAAAATAAATTTTTCACGTTTCAACATTTCTAGATAACGTAGAACAACATTTGCAAAGAGACAAAACTTTCAGTTTTATCAGAAGTTAACAAAATGTATAAACTATATATATTTACTTTATTTTAAAAATATCATAGATACCAGATGAATAGACGAATTGATAAATAACGTAGTTAAAATGTGACATAATTTATAATGAATTTTAGATGGTGTGATTGCTATTTCCCTATAGTGCTTTCGCTAGGGGATATTTAGTGTGTTATTTCATGTTTATGGTTTTCTCCTTCTCTGTTGATCCTTTTAGTTCGCTCATGAAAGGTAATTGCTTGTTTTATTTCATCTTAAAATATTTATATATACATATTATATCTTTCAGGTGTCACCATAAACTTAGGTATTTCTCTGTCTATGGTCAACGCTACAGTTATTATTTATTTTGTTAGGTTGTCTTAAGTTATAATTTAAATAATGTTGAACAGTTAGTGTGACGTTAATTATTTAATTAGAAAAATATATATTGTGTATTTTTAGAAATATAAACTTCGTCACGAAGCAAGTATATAGATTTATTTTTGATCTTTTCTAAAATGGTTGTAGAAATTATAAACATAAACGGTGATAGGGTGACGCATATTGTTGGTGACGGAGCTCGCCTTTTGCGAGTAATCGTATGCATCTATTAATACAGTCAAACCCCGCTATAGTGAACACGGCTTATAATGAACTCCCGGATATAGTGAACGAAATGCTCGACACCTATACCTTGTTATACACCTTGCTATACACGTATAATGTTATTTTTAGTGGATATAGTGAACCAAAAAAGTGAGGAAGTTGGATATAATGAACTTTTTTCTGTCTTCGACTGATTCTCCCCCATTTTCTTTGTAATAATTTTGAAATTTCTACTTCAAAATAAATACATATACCGATTTTTAAAACCATCTATAGAAACTACTTTTATGTGCTCGAATGGCAGGTTAGACAGGTTTAAAAAGCGGAATAACAGAAATTCAGGAAAAATTATCTGAGAGTCGGGAAGTGTTTCCATATCTGATGTTGAGGATTGCTCATCAGCTAAAGATTACTAATTTTTATTTGTACGCAAGACGAAGAGTGATGAAAAATAACACATTTTTTGCTACTACATAATAATTTTTCAGTCATTTATATGAATATAATGTAATAAAATGGAGGAGTTTGGGAACCATTAGTGAAATTCCCTGCGTAACGGATATAGTGAACTCCCGGTTATAGTGAACCGAAATTTCGGTCTCTTGAAAGTTCTCTATAGCGGGGTTTGACTGTACTATACTTTACCGCAATATTGATAATATTGCAGACATGACTTAAAAATTGTTCAAGCTGAAATCAAAGTACTTTCGCGAGGGAAAAGTGACGGGCAACAGCTAAACGGAGAAAATATTTGGCTAATGCATTGTTTAAAACTAATTTACGCACTAGAATTAGAAAACGGGTTGAAGAATTAAAATATTCAAATAACCTTTGTTGTATTGTACGTTAGGCTTGGTTGCCATTAAAGTTTATATATTGTACAAGATTGTTAAGAAAGTCGACCAAGCTGGTAGCCAAAGGTGATTGCTAATATATTAAGGTATAGCTTAAGGTTTTATATAAACCTTAATAAATACCTAACATGGTTTAATATATACCGTTGGTAATATATTAAGGTTAATTATATTAAGGTAATATATTAAGGTTAATTATATTAAGGTAATATATTAAGGTTTAATATATTAAAGCAATGTATTAAACCTTAATATAATAAGGTTTCAAGGCCAATTTTTAAGGCTTTGTGTAGGAAAATCGTAAAAGACCTGCGTGCGATACAATGCTCAGCTGAGTCAAGTGAAGTCGTAACACAGTAATGCAGAGCTGCCAACTTTCTACACTTTTTTTTAAAAATGTATTCTAGAGGTAACTGTGTATATATGATTGTTTGCATTATTTTTTATTTATTTAAATATATCTTCCACACCACTACATATAAAATGATTTAAAAGTACTTATTCAAAGCCATTACTTCCAGCTTTTCTGTGGTGAGGCTTTTAAAATGTTGGTAAAATTACCAGAAACTCTGAAATCTTTGATTTTTAAATGTCTACCACTCTATAAAATATTTTGCAAAAAGCGTAGTAGTTGGCAGATCTGATATAATATTATTTAACCTCTTCGAGACGGGCGAGTCATATACACATTCCATACCTGCCAACTCTTTCGGATTTTCCCGAAGATTTTATTTTTATATTTAAAGTGGTAGTAAATGTATACTTTTTTCTTTTATAAACTTAATTTTTAAATGATTTTGATCACCACTATTCTTACAGAAATTAAGCACATATATTTATATGCGTTACTATCATGGTTGTCAACTTAAGGTTTCTCAAATACAACGTATTTGTTTGCTTAAAATTGAAATTTTAATTACATTTTAATACCACTGGGAAAAATGATAATGGAAAGGATTAAAAGTTGGCAGGAATGGCATTCTCAGGGAATCAGGGTTAGGAAAGATAAAACTGGTAGCCAAACTATTTTTATAGCAGTTTATTTGTAGGCGGGATAATAATAGTTTGCTTTATTTGATTCACCACATCAAAGTCGAAGTAAAAATTGTATAGTTGCATTTTTAACACTCAAATATTGCATGTTTTAAATTTAAAGTGAAAGTAAAGGTAAGTCTGTCAAATTAGGTATGCCAAAACCTGAGCTACCGTTTTCTATTTTTTGCTATCCTGATTCCGTACGAATGCATTTATGAGTCACCCGCCCCGAAAAGGTTAATGAAACTACTTACATTAAAGCAGGAGGATACATTCTCAAAGTTTCTGACACAACGGCATCCATAATCTTCATTTCTCGAATAGCATCATTTCCCAATTTTCCCTAAAATGTAGATTAACAGCACACTCATATTTAAGTCTTGTGAACAAGAAATGGCACAATGGAGATTAACAATTCTTAAATAATCTATAACTAATTGAATTAGGGGTCAGTTTTTACTCTTAAAAGTATTGAAATTTTGATGTTTTGTTGATGTTGATTTATTAACTAAATTCAAAACCAGCTCAACTGAAATGTTTGCAAATCTGTACGCAATTTTCATATAAAGTATAAAAAAGAGTGTTGAATTTTATAAATAAGTAAACAATATTGCAAAAATAAGTTTTTAATCCGTGGAAAATGTTTTAAATCATGCAAGAATAATGTACAAATATTTTTCAAGCCACTACATAATAAGGATTTTATATTGAATTCTTACAGTGAACTTTTAAAATCGTTACAAAGCTATGCAGCATTATACTAACGTTAATTTTAAGTTGTTTTCCCATCATAATTTTTTTTTATGGATAGCGACGCATTTACACTTCTTTGGAAGGTTTAAACTTCTTTAATGACAGTAAAAGTTGGTAATGACGATTTTCCTAATTTTATAACTTATTGCATGAAAGGCAATCATATGGTATAGATTTTTTATTTTCGTTCAGTTTATCGATATTTACTCATACTATATACTCACGTGCTTTTCATATGCCTTATCTATTTCAACAATTAATTTGTCTTGCCATTGTTGGTTCAATGCCAGGACATAAGCCACGTAAGCTAGTGTTGATGCCGTAGTTTCATGACCAACAATGTAAAATAAGACACACTGTGCTACAAGCTCATCTTCCGAAAGCCCTGGAAAAAAAAACCTTTAATATTTTTTTTTAATGCACGCAATAAGATATTGTTACGTTGTTAAGCAATTATATGAGTGTCAAAATTTGTACTTGCATTCTCAATCATATGATTAAGAATTATCAGTTTTTTCTTTCAATAAGGCAAGATCCCGGTCAAGTTTTACAATTAATGATGTCACTATTTTCTGACTCTTTCTTAACTACTGTCCTTTTTTTTTCTACTGCGCAAGTTAGGGGGCGTTGTTTTTATGTTTATTTCAATTTAGTTGTGTCAAGCAGTCAGTTGTGTTATCTAGTTACTTGATTTTTGTTTAACACGTTCACGCCGGGGTGACCCACCGGTGGATCATGCTAGATTGTCTCATTGGGCGGAGCACCGGAGTAAAAACTATGGGCAAAGCAACTATGTGAATTTATTGCTTCTCTGATCACCATCAGCTCGGCCTCAAAAGCTGAGCAATAATCGGATGCTCTGGAGGAGGTCTTGGCAATGGTGACGCCATTATACTTTATGATTACTCCGAAACCTGTCCTGAAGTGTTGAGGTTTGACCTCCATCCTGGAGCCATCCGTATATATTTCTAAACCATTATTATTGTATAATGTTGTATATATATATATATATCATGATTAAATCAGGATTGAATCATCAGATTAGAGTGATCACAATTTATTTGTACTAGTTGGAATTAATATCTTGGTGCAACGAACGAGATCCTATCCTGTTTTCTTTTCTTTAATATGAAGGGCATGAAAGTTTAGTAATCACTATATGATATTAATGATAACTATATTTAACCGATAATAACCCCAAGAGATGTATGATTCATTGCACGATATTCCTTACGCTGTTTTCCTGGATTCCAATAAACTGACACTTTTTCTAAACGCCTAGCCATTATTAATAACCAAATAAAAGAAAATTTTGAAAATATTTATTGATTGAGTAAAGAATTTTTTTCCCCCTTGAGTTGTCAACGCAGTGAAAATTTTTAAGTAATTAAAAAGAGAAAGAGATGAAAAAAATTAGACACTGTTACTTTCACATGATTTACATAAGCGAAAACCATGCAATCTTACTAATTATTTCTGCAGTGCATTTGTAGTTGCCTAGGTTGCCATGTTTCCTACTTTGCAAAAGAAATTCAGATTTTGTATGCAATACAGAAATTTTATTACATTTTATAAACGTTGTTGAACAGCAGACTCAATTATTGAGACTGCGACTATCAATGCTCAACTCCGTAGCGTTGTAATTTTGAACCCAATTCAGAAGACAAGGGAGCTCCTGGATCAAGTATTGGGAAAAAATCTGCTTTCGTGGAAGACTTTTGATCAAACTAACCCGCATTTGCGTTACACATGGAGAGGAAAACAACCCACGGATAGCCTAGTGGCAAAGGGACTTTAACCCATGATCCGTCTACCACTGAGGATATTTAACGTCAGCACTGTGGTAGTTGCGATCAGGGAGCGAATTTTGTATCGACTAGATGTTACTGGGATTCGGGTCACTTCATTGAAAAGTTAGAGCGCTATCCCCTGATCCACAATGGCTTGCAATACGGACATTGTCAATAACATTTAACCTCTTGGGGACGGGTGATTCATAAAAGCATTCGTACAAAATCAGAATCAGGATGCAAATAAATAAAAAACGGTAGCTTAAATGTAGGAGATGCTAATTTGACAGACTTACTTAAGTTTAATCATATACATATTCAATGTTAGTTCAAAGTATAACTAACTAATTTTATTTTGAACTAAAGTAATGGTGACTTAAATAAATCAAACAGTTTTAACCCCGCCCACAAATAAACTGCTAAAGAACTAATTTGGTTGCCAGTTTTATCTTTTTACCCTGATTGATACGGATTTATGCTGGCACGTATTTGTGACAGTCGGCGCGAAAGGGTTAAATAAGATAGATAATCATGCTATGGAGTTATCAATAGTTTTTAATATTAAGGATAATGTTCATTTGTTTATGCTTTTGCGCTGTGTCTGATTTATCACTGTAAAAAAATTGCAAAACACATAAAATTTTATTGTTTTACCTATAAGTGCTTAGTATGCTCTGGAAAATATTTGCTTTCACTAATATTATTATTTTCTCACAAATGTATTAATAATGGTTTGTTGATATAGTTGATTGATATATACACAAATATATTAATAACGAAATGGTTACCATTCTTCTATTTATATGCTTTTTGTTGAATTTTACTTTAGATTATAGAAAAGAAAAACGAATTTTGTTTATCTACCGCACCAAAATATTAATTATAATTAATATATTTTTAAATCCTTTGAATTAAGCTAATGAATGCTCACTTAAATTTTACTATATTTAAATAATACATCCGCCAGTGAAAACTTCAGCTGGTCGATGTAATGAGTACGTTATGAGATTTTATTCTTATTAAGCGGCAAAATTCAACGCATAGAATATGACCAACGCCGCCTATAACTGAAAGCCTCCACACTGTTTTTTATAGGTAGTCCGATCAGACAACTGTGAAGGATATTCACTTTTCGAACGAGTCACTTAATACAAAATCTAGTTAAAATAAGTAAGTGGTAGCAAATATATGACTAAAAATTTGTTTTATTTATGAANAATATTATTGGTTTGCTTTATTTACTTCTCAACCACTACAGATTCAATTCTCAAATATATATGATGAATTTCTCTCAATTACTTTAAAAAAAGGTTTTGGGTTCATGCGCACAACTGGTTCACTTTTTAAATAGTCTGCGCGTACTACTTATAAAAGACCGCGTGGAGGCTTTTTCATGTAGGAGGTGATGACTTGACTCGTCGGCATATAATCCAAATGCTAACTGCTCTGAAATCGTATAATTGTTTAGGTATCTTTACAATTGTATGTGGACACTCTTTAGTGAGAACAGAAGATGTTGAATCATTTTTGGAAATGCTGGCGAAAAGGTTACTTGTTAAATTTAAGATCAGCTAACACGAGTCAAAATGTAAAAGAGTTTAAACTCAATGACATAGTGTTAATTGACGAGGAACTTTATCCTAGAAATATTCATTTTTCATTTGGTAGAATAACTGAAGTTTTTCATGGAAGGGATGGCAAAGTCCATTCTTGTTCAATAAAAACTCGAACAGGAATTATTGGAAGGCCAATTCAGCTTTTATATAATATGGAAATTAATAACTAAAGAAAAATTGAGTGTGAAATTTTAACATATTTGTAATGCTGTCTAATGTTGTATTTTCTTATTAATGTTCATTTTTTCTTTAGTAGATTTCATTCCAGAGAAGCTGAAATGTCAAGTCTGGTAAACTGTTTACTATTTTGTAAATTTAAATTACTTAAATTTGGTGGGGAGTGTCGCCGAATACCACCAGATGGAGTCTTATAATGTAAAAAAAAAGAAGAAAATATTGTTCAAAGAATCCAAAGAAGGCGGATGAATGCTTAAATGTGTAATGTATCGAAATAAAATTTTTTGTTATTGTTTTTGAATCGATCGCTCAACTTTGAATTTCACATGCTATCCGCTGACCCACCATGGCTTGGAATACCGAAATTGTCGCTAACACTTACACAAGATAGAAAATAATGCTATGGAGTTTTCAATAGTTTTTAATATTAAGGATAATGCTTATTTTTTGATGCTTTTGCGCTGTCTCTGATTTATCACTGTAAAAAAATTGCAAAACACATAAAATTTTATTGTTTTACCTGTAAGTGCTTAGTATTCTCCGGAAAACTTTTGTTTTCACTAATATTATTATTCTCTCACAAATGTATTGATAATGGTTAAATGATATAGTTGATTTCCCTAAGCAGGGGAAAAATCTTCTAAATCCTGAAAGCTACAGACCTATTAGTTTGCTGACCGTATTTTCAAAAATTTTTGAGAAGATAATCCTCAACAGACTAAAGCCCCATCTCAGTTTTATCCCGGATGAACAATTCGGTTTTCGAGAACACTTATCCACCACTAAACAACTAGTGAGAATTATTGAGAATATTAACCAAGGATTCTTCAAAAAAGAAACAACAGCGCTCCTGATGTTGGATGTGGCCAAAGCTTTTGACCGAGTCTGGCATCAGGGCCTCGTATACAAGCTCATAAATTTCAATATCCCCAAAGATCTAATACTACTAATTAATAATTATCTGACAAACAGAACTTTTCATATTAAGATCAATACAGCATTTTCTTCCGCTAGAAACATTAAAGCAGGAGTTCCGCAAGGTTCAATTCTCGGCCCTGTGCTCTACCTAATTTATTCAGCAGACTTTCCAAATTTTAATAATATGAGAAACATCACCTCAGCCTTCTACGCAGATGATACAGCACTTATGAGCAGATCAATAAATCCCAAGAAGTCAGTTACTAATCTCAGTAATATCATACCTCATATCGAAGACTGGTGCACAAAATGGAAGGTAGCCATCAACACCACTAAATCTTCACTACTAATTATTAGGAAATCAAGTAAAAAGAAAGTCATTTATCCAAATATTACTCTTTTCAATGATGCAATACCACTAGTTCGAAAGGCCACCTACCTAGGCGTCACTCTTACTAGTACTTTAAACTGGAATACCCATATTGAAAATATTCTTAGCAAAGCGCAAGGAGCCTATAGATCTCTGAAACCAATATTAAACTATAATTCAAAACTATCACTCAAAACAAAACGAACCCTATACCTCCAATGTATTCGACCGATCATCAGCTACGCAGCCCCTGCATGGAGCACAACCACTGTTAGTCAAAAAAAGAAACTGGAGATCACTCAAAATAAATTCCTCAGATATATCACAGGAGCCCCCAGATCCATGAGAATGAAAGATCTAAGACGAGAGTTAAAAATCAACAAAATAGATGAGCACATAGCTGAACTATGTGCAAGTTTCTTCAGAGATGCACTCTCTTGTCATACGTGCAATTACTTTAAAAATTTTGATTTTGAGCTCATCAAAGACAACATAAAATATAGCCCGGCAACCGCCTTTTTCCTATCCGACGGAGTTTTGTCCCGTAAATTTTGTAAATAGCTGTAAATACTTGTAAATAATTTTGCGCATTTATTATGTATTTCCCCTTTTCCCTGGGGCTATGTGGCTACTGTGCACCTGTGAAGCTCGGGATAATACCTCGAAGGGAGGCGAGGCAGTCTGCCACAAAACCTCTTCTCTCTCTCTCAAACTTGTTTGTTCAATCTCCCTACTTCATTTTAATTTTCTCTCAGTAAAAGATACTGAACCCCAACTATTGACCTCTCAGTTGCGCTTCGGCGATTTATTATTTATTTCCACTCAGATGAATTAGTTGGAGCCCCTAGCGGGGCTGATGCTAAGATAACCAACACATATGAGTATGAGTATGAGATATAGTTGATTGATATATACACAAATATATTGATAACGAAATGTTTATCATTCTTTTATTTATATCCTTTTTGTTCGAATTTACTTTTGATTATAGAAAAGGAAAACGAAATTTGTTTATCTACCGCAACAAAATATTAATTATAATTAATATAGATTTTAATAATCTACACTTTAGTGATTTATTAAGGGAGATAATATTCCTTTAAATTATACATCCGCCAGTGAAAACTTCAGCTGGTAGATGTAATGAGTACATTATGAGAGTTTATTCTTAATCAGCCTATATTCTGAAATCGTATTATCGTTCAGATTTCTTTACAATTGTATGTGTACACTTTTTAGTGATACGCGATTTTAGTGCAAATAAAGCACTAATTTGATTTGTGCGTGTGGAACATCATAGATAAACCACAGTTTGAATGCCTTAAATCTTTTATTTTAAGTAACATATATATTGCAAATACAATATATGAAGACGTAAGGGATCAGTGGTTTGCTGAGATTGCGAAGATATGCGGTTCAATTCTCAGCGGTGGCTTTTCACAATGACAGTTGACCACAAAGGAGACATTGTGGACCCTCAACCTCCATGTCCGGATATTTTTGAGAAATACTTTGTGCGTTTTTTTTACCAATATATGAAATCTTACTTTCTATAGCTTTATATAGAATGTCTAAAATTGACCGACAAAGTTCCAAATAATTATTATGGCATTAGCTCCAAATGATGTTTTATGTACTACTACCAAACATTCAAAGAAATGCCTAATGACAAACATGTAAACTCTGGGAGTACAAATCCTAGTGAAATGGAACCCCGAATTAGGTACGATCAAGTACTTGTATATAAATTGAACGATAAATTTGTTTCCTAATGTAATTATTATGGTTCCGTTAAATTGAAAAGTATTAGGTTTAACGGAAAATTCTGGCAACGACGGAATGCTACCATTTTAACAAGTATAATAAGTGAAGGTGAATTTATACCTTTCAATATGTATCAGTTGTACCGATTAGTTTTGTTGGACAGTTTCTTTATAAGTGTAAATATGTATATATGCACTTTCTTTTTTCCGATATATATGATCTGTCTCTTTCAGCTACAGCATTACCATTGAGTTAAATACTCTACAACATTCTGTAAAATGAGGCTCGTGCTTTCGTGAATATAACCTTATTGTGGACCTAATAATTGTCTCGAATTACTGTATATGTTATAGAAGAAACGTTCATTCTCGTTTTTTCCACAAGAGTATGAATAGTTGAGTGAAATGAGTTTGAATATGAGAGTATGAAATGCCAATTTGCTTTTAAACTATAATTCAAAAGCAATGAGGCATTTCATAGTTTTTTACAAAACAACGAAATTATCTTTAAATATAAAAACAAAACAAGTGAAATTAGCACCAATTTAGATAAGTTAAAAACTATAATAATACTTAAATTTGAACTATAATTCAAAAGCAATGTGGCATTTCGTACTTTTATAAAATAAAACAACGAAATTATCTTTAAATTTAAAAACAAAGCATAATAAAATTAGCACACATATAGATAAGTTTAACACGTTCACGCCGGGGTGACCCACCGGTGGGTCACTCAAGATTGTCTCATCTTGGCAGCGCACTCGAGTAAAAACTGGTAACAATAAATTTCATTTTTCAGTTTTTTTTCCGGGAATAGTAAAAATCCATAACTACCAATTGTTTTTAACGGATGCAATTTTTTTATTGAATTGCTTCTTCGCCGTGATAACTTTCCTGACAGTGAATTGTTATTGTTAAGAATAGATTAACTCCTCCTGAATATTATCTAATATTGAAATAGTTCTTCTACCAGTATTTTCACTTTTCCCAGCGTGAACGTGTTAAAAAAAAGATGTTTAAAATTTAGAACCTACAGTTGTATTTCAACTGTTTAGGCATCTCACTGTTTGTTACGCATCCATATTGATCTGTTTCATCTTTTTCTTCCAACATTCTTTCCCTCTTCTCTGGTTTTTGTTCTTCAACGGCATCCATCAGACTTTGCAAAAAATCATCGTACCTCTAACATAAAAGCAACAAGCGAATCAGGCATAACTTTCAAAATTTAGCAAGATCAAAGGCTGGAAGAATTTAAGAAATTGTGTTGTTATCCTTAATTCTAAAGGCTTTAATTTCAAGTCGATTGCAAGACTGTTTATTTTCTTCGCTTAGTGGAGAAAAAAAATTTTCATGGTAGTAAATTTTATTTTTTAATATCTGATTCTTTGATAGTAATTTTGATATAAAGTTATATTCCACGCCACTATTAGTAAATGATTTAAAAGCTCATATGAAAGATCACCTGCTGTTCTGTCTTTGGTGGTGAGGCTTCAAAAATGTTGTGAAAATTAATTAATACTTCGAGAGCTTTAATTGTCTACAATAAAGCCTTAATAGTCTGTCATTCAGTAAAATATTTTGCATAAAGTGTTGTAATTGGTTGCCCTGAATTTAGAGTAGCTATAATCAGAATGAGAAGAAAAAGAGTGATACCCGAGTAACAAGGTCTATCGTAAAATTCTGTCCTCAAAAGAACGTTTCCGATTATACGACGATTCAAAAGGTGCCATTATAAAAAAAAGTTCATTAGGCATCTATCCTTAAATATAGATCTTAGTTCCCGCTTAGTTCTGTCAGATCCTTCCGTCACAAGTTTGACTTTCTCTTTAATCTATAACAATACCATTAAGTTAAAGGGAAAATAACCTAACACTTAGGTAGAACAGTATACAAAAGAGCCATTTAATGCAAAATCTTGTAAAAATAAGTAAGTGGTTGCAAATATATGTCTGAATTTTTTTTTAAATTTATGAATATGATTGGTTTGTCTTATTCACTTGTCAACCACAACAGACTCAATTCTCAAATATATATGTTAAATTTTTCTCAATTACTTTTGAAATTCTGAAATATACTACTTTGGTCCAAGTACTTGAAATAGAAGGGTTCATGCGCACAACTAGTTCAGTTTTCAATAGTCTGCGCAGACTAATTATAAAACATCCGTGTGGAGGCTTTCTGATGCAGCAGGTAATGGTTTAGCTCACTGTAGAAACCTTCGCGAACTTATATATTTCTTGTTTGCTCTGCCCAAAATGAAGCAACATTTGCAGCTTTCATGGAAGTGATTCGAAGTACAACGTTTTTCGATCAAATTTGACTGGGCTGTTTAGATAACATTGAAATTTTTACCAAATATACATAATACTCGTATTCCATACTCGTATTATCGACAATCAGCGGTTGGGTAGACGGTGATTTCGCAGCCTCAATCACCCTATTACATACTTTAGGTAGTCGTCAATGTATTATTGCTTTCTGAATTATACTGCAACGACATACTTTTTTCACCACTCTTTATTTATTACAACTTTTTATTTTCGAAATAATGGCATACGCAATTCACTCATCAAATGAAGCCAATGATATCTTTTAACACTTTCATAATTACAAAAGCGCGCCTCGGGTTCTTCTTCCGCCGTAAAATTGACACATAGCGCAATTTTTTTTAAAAACTTGTTTAATTTAATAAAATAATAATCAATTGCAATCAATAACAATTCTTACTTTGTGTTTTCAGGCATAAAAATGAAGATAATAATCTGTAAATATTGGTAAATACGTCGCTGGAAAAGTTGCTATATTGAAAAACTTTGGGTGGAGGACGAATCTAACTTTAACTCTCTAACTCTTGGTGAATATTCCTTGAAGACGAGCTGTCTCGTCCTCGAGATGAAGGAGTTAAAATGATCTGAAATAATTCGCGATATTTTAAATTTAAAAGTACCAAAAAGTAGAAAATACCCTCGTTGTTCAAGTACAAAGGTCCTACCACATTTATCCCAACAGTCAGTTTTCTGGTGGCTACAAAATAAGGCATTCACACCTCCTCAGCAAGAAATGAGTAAAAATAAAAATACACAAAATAATTTTCTAACACTTGGGCAGAAACACAGTATTAAAGTAGGCAGGTCTTTCAGAACGCATAATATACTACACTCGCCGGCCAAAAATATCCGGACATCCAAAGTGGTATGGACTGAGACTCATATTAATATGATGTTGGTCTCCCTTTTGCCTAGATGACTGTCTGCACGCGTCTGGGAAGACTTTCCACCAGTTTTTGATAAGTGGACACATGGGAATTGACCTCCAGACTTCCATGACAGCTGAAGTGAGTGCTTGCTGTGAGGAGGGTTGATTTGGCTGGCTATGTAATCTGCGCTCTTATTTGTCCCAAAGGTGTTCTATTGGATTTTGATACGGGCTCTGAAAAGGCCAGGCCAGTATTTGAACACCCATTTCTTCAAATCACGTCTGTGCAAGCCTCGATGTGTGAATAGAGCAGTTATCCAGCTGGAAGAGAAATTGGCCAAAATATTGCCATAGAGTTGAGAGTGCAGAGCATTGTTCAGAAAGTCAGCATACATCTCAGAGTTCATATTTCCAACCACAGGAACTAACGGACACAGGCCAAGCCACGAGAAACACCCCTATACACCATTATGCTTCCATCACCATGACAACCGTGTGTCTGGATACTTTTGGCTAGATCACCGGTATTTTAACACCGGTGTCTCTTTCTTATGTTTTTCTTAAACCTTTTTAATTTCAAGCAAAAATATATTTTGAAATTTTTTTAATTATAAAAAAAAAAGTCTAATGGTTTCTAAAAACATCCAAAATCCAAAAAAGTACTTAGAATTTTTTTTCTCCATTCATACTGAAAATTTCCTCAACAATTGATTTAGTAAATTAAAGAAATTTTAATGATGAATAGCTGTTTCTCATACATCTACATAAGTGCAAATTTGAAACATTATTATTTGGAAGTGACCCATGTATGGAAGATTTTTCCTTTCTCGCTGAAAAAGACACCGGTGTTCCATGCTGTTATTTATCACCATAAATTATTAAATAGCTAAATCTAACATTTTTCACTTTGACCTAAATCAATAAAAAGTATTCTATAAAGTGTGAAGTATGTTCAAATTATGTAAAAATTATGTTTAATAATAATTCTGCGTCACATGGTTAATTAAAATAAAATATTTAATCTTTTATTTGTACCTGTCCTTTCTCTCTTCTTTCTTGTATGACATCTAAAACGATTCTCTTGAAGAAATCTATGGATTTTAATTCCTCTAATCTAAAGAGATTCAGCAAAAATTGGGGTACCAGAGCTTCGAAATTAATGAGAATGGAAAAATTATTAAGTAACTGAAATGAAGAAAAAAAAAGTGCAAACAAGAAAAAATATATAAACTATCATGGTTTCTAAATTGCTTAACTGAACAGTGGGAAAGCAGGTTTTTGGACGTACCTAGAACCGCCATTGGGGTCAATTTGACCCTCATGAGAAATTGATGTTATTCTAAAATAAATGATTCTTTAATTGTTAAAAATATAATAAGAAAGGGTTTTTAGAGATTTAGAAAAATGTTATGATTAGGACTGGGCGATATTAGAAATTATATATCGTGATGCATCGTTAGTTTTGCATCGCGATACAGCGATGTCGATACATTTAAAGAAAAAAATATAGTATTTTTGAATTTCATTTACTTGTAAGGCACAGAAAGTCAGATTTCTATCAAAACTTCATACTCAGATTGATTTAAATCAATTTATAAATTTGGAAGATATATATGTTTTGCTTAAGAGAGATATTAAATAAATTGACTACAATGTACAAATCTTACTTAAAATATTTCTTGAAATGTTTGTTTAGAAATTCATAATACGCGTAAAACAAAGTGCTAAAAACATTTTTTAAAGCGTTTTTTACGAATTAATATTTTCTTGTACTATTATGCATAAATAATTANTAATATGCATTTCAATTCGTCTCAAAGATGTATCGTATTTAGATAGGGACTCTAAAAGTGCCAGTAGTCCAGATTTTGAACACCCGTTTCGTCAAACTATGGATGCGCAAGTCTTGCAGGGACAAGTAAATGAAGCAGTTATCGATCTGGATGAGAAACTACCCGAAATATTGCTTTGGGAAAGTGATATTGTCCAGAATGTCTATATACATTTCAGAGTTGATTTTTCCAACTACAAGAACTATGGCATCTAAACCAAACTATGAAAGCATCACCAAATCTAGGTCCTTAGGTTGTTATCCGAATAGTTTTGACCATATAGTGTACATGTTACTGTTAAAGTTATAAATCCGGCTATTAATAATACTAACCATTCAATATTAATAATAACCGCTTCCTTTGATCAAAGTAAGAAATATCGGAAATTATTCCCATGAATCGGTTATTAATAACCATAACCCATGAAGTTTGGTTAATGTGATTAAATGGTTTATATAGCATTGGGACTTAGATGGGCCTCTTTATATGCGTGTTACGGTTAAAGTGACAAATTCGGTTATTATTAACACTAACATTTCAATATTAATAATAACCTTTTCTTTTGATCAAAGTGAAAAATAAATAGGGGAGATTTCTGTATTGTGATCAGTGGCAGAACAACCGCCAACTCTGGCAACTTCCGGGCGACAGTCCGTAAAATACTTAAAAAAAAAAAAAAAAAAAAAAAAAAAAAAAAAAAAAAAAAAAAAAAAACAGATCGACTTGAAGGGTATAACTCATAACCATCCCTGGGCAAACATCTACATGTTTTTTCTTGTTTTTAATTTTTTCAGTTTAAAATCAATTTGGCGCTTTGGCGATCGTAGCAGACGTAGCAGATCACGTTACGGAAATATCCCCAATAAAAACGCGAAGGAATGACAATGACCGAACTTCATTGGTTATTATTAATAATAACTGGTTAATGTGATAAATTAGCTTAGTTTATAATTTGGTTAGTATTAATAATAACCGATTATTCGCATTGACCGTAGCATATATTTATATATGAATGCTCTTTTTACAACATTTTTTTATGAGTCAAATTTTTTAATTATTTATCGGGGTAATTAATAAGATTTGATAAGTTCATACTTACATAGCAAAATTATCCGAAAAATATTAAATGCTTGATTACTTTCCTTAATCATTTTGACGAAAATATGGTCAGGGTTGTTAATAGAATCTACTTTAGTTGCGAAAGCAGCCAGTGCTATGACATCTGTCACAAAAGCCCCAAATAACCTGAAACAAAATTTATAATTTCATTTCAAAAGCAAACTACTAACCATGACTTTTTTTTTAACTGGATTTCTCAGGAACTCTTCGACCGATTCTGCTCAAATTTTTTATTTTCCCATAAAAATAATACATTCTTTAAAATGAAAAAAAAAAATTTATACCTAACAATTCAGAATTTTTTGGACTATCATCAAATAAAATAATCAAAAATAATAAATCATAATTAAAAAAATATTTTTTGCATGAAATTATCCTTTGGGCAAGTAAATTTTATAAATCAGAGCAAAAATTTTTCTATTCACTTAGTTTTCGTGATATGGCGAAATATGCAAAATTTAAATTAACATTAAGGGGTCCAGGCTTTTGGCCGTTCTCTTGATCAAACTATTAAATTTATATTTCCCAGATTGCGGCTACCTCCATATTTTGAGGGTCAAGAATCAAAATCTGTCAGAAAAAAAGGTATGTTTATTCAGAAAAAGTACGTTTTTGCGTTTAATTTCTGACTTAAAATATCCTCTTCATTTAGTAATTATCGTATTTGAGGTCACTCTTCCTTTCTCTATGATTTTGCGTTATGTATTTCATTGGCGATAAGGTCTCGGCATTAGACCAGTGATTAATCACCCTATTTCAGTTTACCGACTAATCAGTAGGAATCATCAGAGGCTTCGACATGAGGGGGATTTGGGGAAATCCGTTTTTAACCCTATCGCACCGGACTGGACATGTGCTGTCCCAGTCTGGTAAATTTTTGATATTACGGCTGGGACAATATATGTCCCAGTTACTGAAAAATATCTAGGACAGAAAATAACGCCCACTTTGGTCTCCAAACCGAACGCTGGAAATGGGATAAATCTCGGCCATTGGCGCGAAGCGCCACTTACCGATTCATCGGAACTGTTTAGTCATAATGTGGAATGACGAAAATAGTTCAAAGTTGTAGTATGTTTAGAGAATCAAGTCCTTATAGGAGTGGGTCTTGGATTGAAAGTTCAGGAACATCACTGAGAAGGGGAATTCCCCTTTAGCAGAGTTTGTAGTAGGCTAAGCACCTCTTGGTCCTTCATGAGCTCTTGTAATTCCTTCATGAGTGAAACAAGGCGATGTGCTGATGATGCAGGAGTGTGAACTTTAGTGTGGGTTTTCTTCCTACTGGGGCGGGCCTCGCACCCAGAGAAGTTTGAAGTGTGATCCTTTCTGCAATTGCAGCATGTAGCTGGTGTGTCTCTGCTTTTTGTACACTGATACGAAAAATGCCATTCAGCACATTTCATACAACGTGGTTTTTCTGTGCACGTACGCTGAGAATGTCCGAATCCTTGACATCGGATTCACACCTTAGGTTTTCAGCCACCACTATTTCTAAATAATTCGAAGGCTTCTTCCTCTGGTGAAGGATCGAAATGAGTCGAAAGAGAATTTACCCTGGTAACATGTTGTGACAGCTCGCTTATGTTAGTGAGTCTTCTGAAACTGAAAACACTGAAGAGGAGACCGACAATGAAGGCGTTTCACACGATGATTTGTTTGACGATGAAGTTGAGCTCCAGAACCAGAATCCACCGTCATTTTCATGGTCCCATCCAACTAACTTTGCACCACGAATGCCACTAGTTACTTACATCAAGGGTCAAACAAATTTCTCTATTGGCAACGAAGCCACCGAAGTGGATTCTTTCTTCAAGATCTTTTCCAAAAGCTTATTCATTTGCATTGCCCAATGTACGAACGAAAGTACAGAGATGGAAAGAAAGAACATTTGGAAATGCGAGCAAGGAAGTCAATAAGCAAAGGCCATCTTCCTCCAAAACTATATCCTCATCATCAACAGCGAGACTTTTCAATGTTGGAAACCACTTCCCAATTGAGGGAAAAACGTGCAGAAGATGAAGATGTGCAGGGGCGGATCTACTTAAGGGCTTTATGGGCTGCAGCCCAGGGCCCCGTGGATACAAAGGGCCCCAGTCCCCACTGAAAACAATAGGTGATATTTTGAATTAAAAAAGTATCTAATATTAAAGAAAAAACTATTACAAGGTTGGCAACCCTGAGATCAATCAATATGCACGTGCGCGTTTATCGAACTGAACGGGGAATTCCCGTCGCTTGTCTTTGGTCAGTGTATTTTTTCGCGTCTATATTACGGGGGACTTCCAGCCGCGCCGCTAACGCCCGACGTAATTTTGTTTTTTTTCCTGCACTTCTGTTCTCGTCGTCAAAGTGACAAACTTGTTTAGTTTATAAATGATAAGTTACAAGTTATAAAGACAGGACCTTTCTTATTTTACTTATAATTGAAAGTACATAATCAGTAGAAGAAAAGATTTTCTGTTCTTAGTTGGTAAGTAAAAAGAATTATAAATAATGTTTTTTTCTGTTTTTAATGTGTTTTTTCAATACTAAATGAACATTTTAATCGATTTTAGTGATAATTTGTGAATTGCTGCACTCATTACAAAGTAATGTGACGTGAAGAACAATATTACATCGATTATCTCGTTCCCTGTTTATTACCAGAAAATTATCTAGTTCATTGTTTATTTTCAGAAAAATATCAGTCTTATTTCACAATATGTCTGGTTGAAAATATGAAAGAGAAGCTGAGAAACGGAAATTACAGCTAGATCAAGGAAAAGAAAGAAAGAAATGTGCACAAATTGAAACTTTTTTCAAATTAGAACATAAAACTGAAAATAAAATAACTATAAATTTATTAGCAAGCGAAAAGAAAGTGATCTTATCCGAAGAGAATCTATTTGAAGGGAGCAGAAAATCGCAACACCAGGAAAAAAATACAAGTGATGAAAATGTACAAAGTCTTGACTACCAGCAACCCTCTGATCCCACTGAAAACTATAGTGGTGTTCAGCAAGAGGAAGGTAATACCGAGGCGGAAAGAAATTTAGAGAATATTAAGATTGAGCTTGAGAAATATGACAACGTGGGCCTGTGGCCAGAATTGTTAAATAATGATTTTATTAATGACATCCTCTCACATGAACTTGATTTTCGAAATAAAGATCCGAAAAATATATATTCAGCTTCAATAAAGAAATACAAAGAACAAAACAGAACATTTTTAAATAGGTATTTTATTAAGAAAATGAAAAATTGTCAATCACTGGAAAGATCTTGGTTATGTTATTCAATCAGGGTTGGTACTGTTTTTTGTTTGACTTGCAAACTTTTTTCTAAAATTTCTTCTCAATACATAACCGGATTTTCTGATTGGAAACACATAGGAACTTGTTTAGAAAATCATGAAAATTCTAATGAACATAAGAAATCAATGTTAGTGTGGTTGACACAAAAGGAAAATAGATCTGTTTTAGACAAACAGCTTCAGAAGCAATTAAGAAAAGAAACAGAATATTATCACAATGTCCGAAAACGGGTAATTGCAGTGGTCAAATTTTTAAGTATAAGGGGCTTAGCATTTAGAGGTTCCGAGGAAGTACTTGGTTCTCCACATAATGATAATTTTATGGGTCCTCTGGAGCTATTGGCTGAATTCGATCCATTCATTCGTGAACACATTGAACAACGAGAGCTGCGACCAAAACCGATAATATCGTACTTATCAAAAACAGTATAGGAAATAATTTAGATTATGGGCCGACAGATAATTAAACAAATTATATCTCAAATAAATAACGGCGACACAAAGTATTATTCAATTGTGATGGATTCTACTCCAGATCTATCCCACAATGATCAACTTGCTATTGTATTACGATACTGTTTTCAGGGAAAAGTGTATGGATGATATGTATCCTTCATTAAAATTGGTCGTCATACTGACTTACATTTATTTAATATTCTACAAGACTTTTTTAGAAACAAATGGGCTACTAATGGATAATTGTAGAGGACAATCTTATGAAACGCTGCCAATATGGCGGGTCACTACATTGGTGTTCAAGCACTACTAAAACAAAAAAATAAATCCGCGGATTACGTGCCAAGTGCTGCACATTCCCTTAACCTAATTGGTTAAGAATCTGTTAAGGTTGCGACCGAAATTGTGAACTTTTTTGGAGTAGTGCAAAAAAAATACGTTTTCTTTTCTACTTCGACCCATAGGTGGGAACTGCTAAATCGTGAAACAAAACTCAAATTTACGATAAAAAGTTCAAGCCAGACTAGATGGTCTTGTCACTGTGATACTGCCAAAGCTTTGAAAAATAATTATGATAACATTATAAAAATTTTCGAAAGTTTCGGCGAAAATGAGGATGAGAAAGTTGATTTCCGGAAAGAGGCGCGAAATTTATTCAATAAAATGGCGAAACTCGATACTGCAATTTTGATTATTTTTTGGGAAGAAATTTTGGGGAGATTTAATTTAGTTAATAAAAAAATACAGAGCCCTGGTTTAGATATTTGTGAAGGCAACAAGTTAATTGTGTCATTAAAAGACTTCGTGAACAACATAGGGCACCAATCAGATCATAAACTAAAGGAATGCGAAGAGAAAGCTAAAAAATTAAGTGCTAATGTGGGAATAGACAACAATGACATAAACAAGAGACACATTACTCCAAAATTTTCAGATAAGTCTTCAGATGAATTCTGAGCATACGACGCAGAAAAATTTAAAAGAGGCACGCTAAACGTTGCGTTGGATAAGCTAATTATGGATTTAAATAAAAGGAGCCAAGTCCATGAGATGTATAGAAAGACATTCAAATTTTCAATGGATTTGCAAGACAAAAATATGGAAAACATAGATCTGGATAGTGTACGTAATATTGTTGATTATTATCCAGATGACGTAGACGAGCATTTAGTGAATGAGTGATGAACTTACAATGAGATGAGCAAATAAAGGAATTTGCAGCACAAAAATGCAGAAAGGTTGCTTTATAATTTATATAACATAACTACACATAACCTGTCAATTTCTTTTGCAATAATGTTGCACAGTTGCTGTTTGTAAACACAAATAAAAATAAATAAATAAAATTGTTTTATTGTCCTATTTTTTTCCATATGCTTATCTATATCACTATAGAAAACCGTTTTTTTTTGTTGACAAAATGGCTATTAGGGCCTCTAAGTAGTTTCAGCCCAGGGCCCCTTAAATTCAAGATCCGCCCATGAAGATGTGCATGGTGCATAAAAATGAAGAAAGAGGCATGCTCGAAAATAGTGTGCACCTCTTGCACCGTAGCACTGTGCAAGAACTGTTTCCAGCCCTACCACACCCTCAAGAAACCAAGACTTTAGATACTGTTTTTCCTCCACTACTTTCAATTTTTTACAGTATTTTATAACAGTTAATTTCGAAAAGTGTTTATAAATAAACATTTTAATAAAAATTCTACAGCAAATGTACATGAAAATGTTAATTAAAAAAAGCGTTACTTAAAATAATCATCAAAATTTTTTAAGTGAAATGTCAATAAATATGAGTTATTGACTCTAGAATTCCGGCCGGGACATACCCTGTCCCGGGGTTTATATGCTTTGGGCTTACGGCGGGGCATATACTGCTTTTTCGCCGTATTGAAAGGGTTAAACATAAAACGACTATGCAACGTTGAGGTCGTCCCTCATTATTAAGATTGAGTCCTAGTGCGGGAAGATAGATCCAATCACTAGGTCAGAAGTTACTCAATGGGTTCAGTTTCTTTTCCCCACACTGTATAAACTTTCCTCAAATAGAAGCACTTCTACTTTAAAAGATGTGCATTAATGAATTAAATTATTATACGCATGCCGAAAATAAATCAGCAATACATACGATTTGCATTCAACTGGTTCTCCATTCTGGTAATGTTTTTCGAATGTTTTCAATACAGTTGCAGCACAGCTATTGATGATATGCTCCATCTAAACATTTATAAAATTTTTTAATTAGTATCTAAGTCAAAATTTTCTTTTGAATCAAATTTTATTTTCAAATATTAATAAGAATAATTTCGCTATTGCCAATAATATATATATGATAAAAAATGAACTGCCGCAATTGAAAAAGCGTATATAAATGTAAGTGTTTCGTGAAGCACTAGCGTCATTTTTCAATTGCACGGCTGTACAGGATGACAATTAATAACTGAGACGATTTACTTAAGGCTGTTTCTTTTTTCGAAGGCACTGTCGTAATATGAAATGATGAATTTTTTGTGAATAATATGTTATTTTTATAATTCCTGTGAGTTTGCTACTGTTGCTCATGACTGTTCGGTCAAGTTTAGCCTATCTACAGCCAGCGCTGTCTTCGCTTATTTTGAAAATGGCACATCAAGATGAAGAAAAGTCACAGTTTTGTGAAAATGAAAAGCTTTTGAAGTCTAATTTTTAATATTTAAAAACTTACCCCAATGCTGCATTACTTGTGCTTAAAAAAATTTGCAAAAACTGAGAATAAGGCATTGATTTTGATACTTTTCATGTAGGCGGAAAAATCTCGCTAAATTGGCATTTTTTTAAAACAAAAGTTTAATATCTTTTAAAATATATATGTTATTTTTTAGTTTTAAAGCCCAGATAATTTTCCACTGCAAGATTATTACAGTTTAAAATAATCGCATTGCTTCAAGTGTAAGGCACTTAAACCATGGCGTTTTTATTTTCCCTGGCGATAGAGTTTCGAAAAACAGTGCTAAAACATCTGTAGTTCTCTCAATTTTGCTACCATTTACGGAAAAATTTCCAGATCTTGGCAACCCTGCAGGGATCTCCACCATAATAATTAAAGGTGTGAATGTTTATATCGTACGAAGTGTACTTTCCTCGCAAAAAGTTCAAAATCGCCACCTGTTTTCTTCATCTGAAATGTGTCTGTAAAAATCTGAAACCTTCCAGGTAAAATTTTAAGAGGTTACAAAATCTGGTAACTTTTCTTTTGTTTCATGATTCATTTATAGTTCGTATAAAGTAAGAACCTCCCTAGCCATACGTTTTGACCCATGGCGGTGACTATGGTAACGAGCTATAACTATTTCAAGTGTGGGGTCACAGTTTAGGACAAGTTTCGGCTCGAGACGGAGAGATAGAAAAGAAATCTTTTTCTTCCGTCTATTGTGTTTGCCCTAGAGAGAAGAGAAGCTACCCTCCCTGAAATGCGCTATTCTTGTTTGCATAGCAGCAGACGGCCTCAAACTTTCTGGCGGGGGAAGTTCTTACCGTAGACAAACTATACTAGTAATTAAATATTTTTGGTGTACCTCTGGGAACGCTGAATTAGGGGAATTATTCAAAGTGGCTGTAGTCTCAGAAATGCTAACTTCTCCGGATTCGACAAAATATTTTAAATAAACAGTAGAGAACTAATACTAAAATGTACAGACTTTTGGTTAATATTGTCAACTTTTAAAAAGGCTTAAGAACGGTTCATGTGCAACAAAGAAGCATATCAGATAAGTTTTGGAATTATTTAGAAGTAGAGGTGAGTAAAAACTCTATAAATTGATAACAATATAAGTATGAATTCATTAAACTAAGAATCATACAATGAAAGACTAACAATAGAAAATATTTATCCGCTGTCCGGAGCAAGTTGGCTACTCTGCAATATGATCCAACAAATGATTTATGATATAACCGTAAATTTTATAGCTTTTAATTTCACTTAAAATTTAAAAATTCAGTTGGTCTGTTATAACACAGATATTAAATTTTTAAATATTTCTGGATCTCAGTAATTTTTTTAAAAATTGTTCTGGTTCTTTTTTTTACCAGGTTTTGAATTTTTCTGGAATGTGGCTATTTTTGAGTTAAATTAAAATGCGCTATTCGAAATTAGATGCTGTAAGACTAGAGGATATTTCCTTTTCATAAAAAATTCACTCTCAAGTTATTTTTTCTTATTAAACTTCTGCGTCTATTTTTTTTATATAATAATCAACTCTTGCATATAAATATCATATTTAAAAAATGTAAAAGTACTTTTCTCATTTGTCTAGAAGTAAAGGCTGGTGTCATAATTGTCCGAATTCTCTTCCAGTCTTCTCCCTTCAGCACTGTCACCATTTTGTCCAAGACTTTATTCTTAAAGGACTGATTCTTAAATGGAATGAAAAATAAATACAGTAAGAAATATATAAAAATAATGCAACAAACCATTCTTAAAGAAATATAACTAGTCACCTTAGAGTATGTTACATTGTAAAATAAATATCACTTAGATTCATAAATTTAAATGTTAGTGGAAAACCAATTAAATACAAAAGAAAATGGTAATTTTTCAGGCTCACTGTACACAAAATTTACTGTTTTCAGCATCTAAATTTTTCTTTAGCATCGATAATTAGTTTTAAAATAATTGGATGCCGTCAAGCAAATTTAAAGTTACACAATATGCATAAATTTAAAAATAAATTTGTAGTCCGGTAACCACTTTTTAACTACAGAGCTCCAGACCGAAGCCTTAGATTTGTTAGTGTCGCTCAAGGAGCTTTGTTTGACATTTAAATGACTTTGTTTAACATTCAAGTACAAAATATTTCTACAAAAGGATAAGCAATGCATTCTCATAAGTTGTTGCGATAGTTCACACTTAATTTCGAAACTATCGATATTATGAAGATAAATATATAACCCAAAATTACAAAATTACATGTCATGTACAAACTCCTAGTTTTAGATATTTATAAAGATACGTAGGCTAGCTGCATAAGAGAAGAAATTACAATTAATGTATTATTTTTTGAAGAAACTAATATAACGAGATGATTTTCTTAGTAGGTTTTGCTTTTCTCTGTCTAAATATTTTTAATTTTACCTGATTAGCATATAGAACAGTAATTAGTAAGTGCGATGAGATTTCTTGGAAAATTTATACTTCATTAAAAAAAATTAGCAGTTTCATAATGAGAATAACAACTTAATCACTTACCTGTCTTTGACTGAAGTAACTAAAATCTTTCACCAATATGTTTCGCAAATATTTGGGGTCGCCAATAGTAAGTACAGGTTGTGAAAACTGGAACGATCTGCAAATAGATTAAAAAACTCTAAGTAGAAATCAAAATAACATTTTAACTTTAAAATTCAAGTGTAATTTTTTTAATATCAAAATGCACTTCTAATTTTAATTTTCGATATCAAACTAAAAAATATAGGGGGAAAAAGATGACTTTAGTCCTTTGATGCAGAGGGAACACCGGTGTCCCTTTTATGTATTTTTTTTCAGATGCTCTAACAACCAGCAAAAATATATATTGGTATTTTTTAATTTTAAAAAGCAGTCTTTTAGTTACTATCATCAGAATGATATTTATACTAAAATATAAAATCCAAAGAAAGTACTTCGAAAAATAATTTTTTTTTGGATTCATATTCAAGCAATATGCGATATTTGGTTTTTAAATTAAAGAAATTACAACGATGAATCTTTTATATTACACTTTGCATAACTAAATAGGTGCAAATTTCAAAAATTATTATTTGGAAGTGAACCGTGTTTGAAAAAAGTTACCTTTAACGCAGAAACAGACAGGGCTATTTTATGCTGTATTTCATAACCATAAATTACTAAAAAGCGTCAAAACGTAATTTACAGTTTTGCGTCAAAAAGTAATTTAGAGTTTGTTTTTTAATATTCATTAAAAAAAAATATTTTACTTAATTTGATTTAATTTGTATTAGCTAAACTAGAAAAAGTAAATTAGAACTAAATTAGAAAATTAAATAAATTAGAAAAAGATTTGAACAGCGAAGATAAGGTATTCTTTAATCTTTTTTGGAAAAAACAGCCGCTTCACTAAACCGTTACAGCTTTATAAAATAAAGCAGAGCAGTTGGCATCACTGGCGTAGGCATCCTGCTGGCAGTCAGCAATTACGGAATTATATTCGCATTTATTTATTTGTCTATATATGTCAAAATAATTTAAAGAGCACGATGTTTTGATTATCTTTGAAGTTTCGTACTCATTTTAACTTTATCGTCCTCATCATCAGGGAGTAACAGCCCTTATAGAGCCTTGGTATCTAACAAGATTCTGAAAATTTATTTTCTGTTGGTCACCTCTTAACTTCATAAATTTTAACTTAATGAAATTTTATATCCTGACTTAATTTTAATTTAATTAGAAAAAATTCCTAAATTCATTATCGTGTTTTGCATCCCACAAGTTAGTACTTCTAAAGATTTACCACTTACCCATAAAGTCGTCCATACTTGTTATAATTCTCCCTTATATATGTCGCGAATGTCTGCAAAAAATGACACATTTTCAATATAGACTATCCAATATAATATTATTTAAATTTCAAAATTTTATTAACAGTAGCATGGATTTTCGTAAAATATCAGATATTTTTCGTAAAATATTACAAATGTAAATCTATGTTGGTTTTTTTTCCTTCTTAATACTAAGCCTTTTTATTAGAATTCTCACAACTTATGGACCATAAGAAATATCAGTCTTTGAGTTTTAAGATCTTACATGCTTTTTAATGATGACGGCTGACAACTTTTTCGCACGATCTATCCTAAAACAGTTTAACTGCTTTGTTAACACTAGACAGACTGAAACTTAGTACATATTGCCCAAAAGCAGTGAAAATGACTGAATTGTGATAGAATAACTAATGAGTAAAAAATGGTGTAAAATTAATTTTTAATATTTTTTTTAATTATTTACAGTTATATAACAAGGCATTGGTAGATATTAGCAATGAAAAAATTATATGTTGCACTAAAAGTCACAAAATTCTAATAAATTGTGACATTATATACATCATTGTTTTTCTAATTGAAATTAAAAAGTAGTGAAAATGACATCCTTGGGTAATCTAGTGTTAAAACTACTATATCTCAACCTAATGTTGTTACTGGCACAATTTGAACCTTTGATCTTTAAACTTTCAACAGGGATATTTTTTAGTTTCATGTACAGAGTTTTCAGTGTTTCTAAAAATATTAAAAGGGGGAGATAAAAATGAAACAGACACCGATGTTTTAATTACTTTGTTATTACAATGACGACACAATATTTTATAAAAAATTTTGGATTTGAATATGAGTTTGGATGAAGTACCTGCCCGCGAATGCGGGCACCTCACTTCTTCTTCCGATTTCTGGCCCTGGGGCAACTGAGACTAGTGCCTTTGGTTCAGGGGGGAAAAGTATTAGCAGTTTACTAACATAGGTTAACTATCGATAATGTTAATTTCTGGGAAGGTCCCTAGAGTCATTAGCATGTAAAATACAATAAACTGAAAAGATATGTACGAAATTATTTACAGGATTTGAAAATAGGGGAAATATAATATCATATATTTACAATATTTACATATTAACATTATTTATATAACATGATGTTTGTATTATTTAGAGTGATCCTCTGTTATAACGATGACCATGGGTGAAAGCCCTTATATAGCAAAGACGGTAAAGAGAAAAACCTGGTACGTAAAACATTTCATTCCAGCATTTTTTTCGAGAAAAATGAAATATCTGTAACTATCAAGATTCTTTTATAATTCTGGCATATATATAAAACTGCTTCTTTTCCAAGATAAAGTAGTTATTGTTGAAAAATTAAAAAAAGAATAAGTAAACTCCTCCCCAAAACTAGCTATAACTGAAATGGTTTTACTACCAGCCTTTCCTCTTTTCCGTCTCGCTTTCACCCCTGACGATGACCCGGTCGTCCCGGTGGAAAATTGAATGCTGTTAAGTCTCTAAAAGATAAAGTGGTAGCTTAAAAGAAGAAATTTTTACTAATTTTTGCATAAACTGTTTTTTTTCTTCCTAATTGTCACCACATGAGTTCTTTACATTAATCTAGGATTATAGCAAGATAACGGTACCATGCTGAGAAACATCTTATTTCCTACACAGAAATGGAGTCCCCCTCAAAATCCTCCTCCTTAACAATTGAAAATGTGGCTAATCATTATAGGGCACATAATCTCGCAAATAACCATAATATTTAAAGAATGTACCTTTTATCATTTTTACCAATCGGAAAACAAAGTCCCGTAAAATTCAAAAGTTATAACATTATTGTCGTAAGTACGAAATTTTTTAATGATACAGTGACTCTTAAACTAATTTGTGTCCAGGACTGTTAACTACTTCGTTTTTGGAAAATATTTTTAATATTTTATACAGTGGTAGACCTTTAAAAACCTAAGCTTTCTGAATATTAGGTAATTTTGCCAACATTTTAAGAACCTAAGCATGAGATAGCTTGAACAAAGTGCCGTTTCATATGAACTTTTGAATCATTTACATGCAGTGGCGTAGAAAATAAGTTGAAATGAATAAAATATATACATTAAAACATAATCAGTAAATATAATTATAACTAACACTAAAATAAGTTTTTACAAAAAGCGCAGAAAGTTGGCAACCTTATATGTCAATATCAAAGAATTTGTGAACTACGTTGTGAAGACGGCTGAAGTGATATTTTTTAACTAAATAGTAAAATTTAAAGATAAAGTTTAAATAAAAATAATACAAAGAAAAACAACCCGCCAGCTCCCAATCTGTAACAATTACACAGCAGCTAACTTGTACGGTCGTTTAACTTGTACGGAAAAAATAAACTTTTTGTCCTGGAACTTATCCTGATTTTTTCGCTTTTCATATAATTTTTTTTCTCCAGTTTACCGCAAATCAATAAATTTAACATATGTGTATTACATCTGTTAGTTAAATTGTTATAGTTGCCAACTTTTGCTAATATTTCGTAAGTTTTACAGTAATACTTAAAGCTGTAGCAAAATGCGCCCTTTTCTTTTCATAATTTAACAGCATTCTCACGACCGGCAAAAAATAAATGACTGGCAAATAGAATTTTCAAAACTACTGAAAAATGCTTCAACTTATCTTTCATTTGTGTACGAAATTATTCCAGCGTTATTTTTTGTACTCATGTATATTTCCTTTAAATTAAATATTTAATGATAGCTTAAAACATCTATATATATATCTCAAATTTGCTACAACTTTAGAAAAAATTCCAAACCGTGAGAACCATGTTTAAAGTACGGTCTTTAAAAATTAAAAAAAATTGTGAATAGATACCTAATAAGAGTTTATTACAATTTTCTTTTTATTAGCTTTTAAGATTATAAATTCTGATATTCATATTTGGCGGCTGAATATATTTACAGGAAACTATTGACACATGGCTTGCCAGTCTGGCCAAACGGTAAATAACTACTTACTATATTTGCAAATACACTCTATAACAAAAAAATCGACGCACCAAGAACGCACTAAGACGCGCAAAATCGACTCTCGATCAAGCTGGAATGATGCTGACTGGGGACGTATAGACTTTAGCGACGAATCCCGCTTCTAACTGTGTCCTGACGATCATCGAAGACGTGTTTGGAGACGCACAGGGCAGAGGGGGGATCCTGCCTTCACTATTGCACGCCAGACCGGCCCTCAACAAGGCATTATGGTCTGGGGTGCCATTTCCTTTGATAGCCGGGCCCTTTGGTCGTCATTAAAGGTACACTTACTGCACAGCGGTACGTCGACGACATCCTAAGACCTGTTTTGCTACCGTACCTTTTGCAGCGCCCTGGGCTGGTTTTTTAGCAGGACAATGCCAGACAACATACGGCACGTGCTGCTATGAACTGTCTGTAAGCTTGTCAAACTCTTCCTTGGCCTGCCAGATCACCAGATCTCTCTCCCATCGAACATGTCGGGATATGATGGGAAGGCGATTGCATCTGGCACGGTATGTTGATGACCTCGTTCGACAATTGGATCGAATTTGGCAGAAAATACAGCAAGAGACCATCCGGGAGCTTTATCGGTCTATGCCACGCCGTGTGACAGCTTGTATCCAGCCCAGTCCTGCTATGTCCAAATTAAGGAACACCAAAAAATAAACTACTAAGCTTTTTCTTTTAAAATTTTTTAACCAGTTTTAATCGAAGCATTATTATTTTATAATTCCCATTATTTTTAAAACTCAGCTGCTATTATGTAGCGACGGCATGCTGTCAAAAGAAATCTACAGATATTTTCACTTTGATTTTGTTACAGTAAAAGTAGTAGTGATTATTTCACTGTAACAACCTTTCGGTAGGTGCAGGTTGTTACAGTGACAGTAGCAGAGGATTTTAGTAACTATGACAGTGTTTTGGTAGGTACTTAGTTCACTGTAACAAGGAACTGCTCCGTAACTTTTGACCCATTTCTATCGTGTACGATCGATAATTATATGTTCTAAGTAAATCGCTTATGCATCTTTTAAAGATAGGCAAATTAGCCCTAATTTTTACATAAAGCCTTATCAATCACATGCTTCAAAATGTTGTATTCCCTTTCTAGATGTGTAAAAATCTGTTGTTTCAACATTTATTTACGTATGAAGTAAATAAAACTATCGCGAAGCGTTGTAATATTATATTATTCTATGCAAAATCAAATAACTGTGCAACTTTGCCATCTAACCTCATTTCTAAAACGTTAAAACCAGAGATAGACTGGGTGGTTATTTAGCAATTAACCTCGAGGAGTTTCGTAAACTAGTTATAACACAGATACGGCAAAAAGAATTTTGCAATCCGGACCCGGTTTTTGTTTGAAGATCAGGTAGCGGTAGTAATTTTCTGATCCCGCTGCCTTTACGATCCGCTGTTCTTTTCTTGGTATTTTCTTAAATATAAAAATAATAATAATCGATAATAATTAATTCATTTACTTTTTTTTCTCTCAAGCAAAACATTTCAAAAATTAAAAGTTCGACTTACAATTTGGACTAACTACTTTTGTCCAAAAATCTCCAAAAAAGAGTGCGAGTCGTTAAATGTCGCTGGATTGTAAATCTAATTAATCATAATAATAATGTAAGTTTTTATTTCTTTTAAACTTTGTTACCTGATCTAAGTCTTTTTAATATAAGAAATTGCCAAACAGAAGAGCGAGTCTTAAAAGCCGCTGCATTGAAAGATCGCAGCCCAGGAACATAATTCGTATCTACCAGCTGAGATTCGAACCTGGAACATTTCAGTGAAAGGCGTCATTTTTTGCACATGATGATGGTGAAAAGAATTGTAAACCAAACTTATTGTTTTAAAATTGAAACGGTAATAGATAAATTTATGGTCACTTTAAATATTTGGGAAAAATCTTTTTTAACCTCTCAAAGCACCAGTTATTTTCGGAAAAACTGCCAATAAATGATCGAGTTTTGTTTTACAGAAAATGAGTATATAGGTTTAGTGTAATTTATTTTTTGCAAATTCAGTTGTGGGGGTAAATAGGAAGCAGGGGATGGTGTATCAGTTATAAAAAAAATTACTGTACAAACAAAGTTTAAGCAATTTGATTACAGGTTTATTTTGAACTAGTGGGCTGCGCCCCCTGCTCGCTAACGCTCTCCAAACCCCGCAAAATTGCTACGCAATCTTATATGGTTTGCTTCGCAAACCAAGCTCGCTTCGCTCTCAGCTAACTTAGGTACATTGCAAATGCACAAAATTCTAAGAATTCAAATCAATCATTCAAATCCATATAACAACTTTTTTTTTAAAAAAAAATTACATCTTTTTAGTAAATACTAAGTCATTAAAATAAATTTGAATTCAAATAAATGACATGTAATTCGTTAAACCTATTAGAAATGTGCTATAGTATAATTCGTGATCTAAATCAAAAATCGTCAAATAAATTCGTAATATATAAATTCGTGAAAAAAGGCGCTTTCGACAAGATCTATCGACAAAGGACAAGAGATCTATCGACAAAGACTACTCACTTCTGCCTAGCTTATGCTCTCTCTGGTTATTTCAGTTTCCGTTTTTAAAAGCGCTATATGTTGAGCCATCTCAGCTAGATTTGGCATGTGACAATTTTAGCGGCAATCATTGATCGATTTTCTAGCGTTGCCATTCGGGGAGTTGTAATGAGACTTTTTTTGTCACCGTGTAAGAGAAATATATATATAGATTTCAAAATATTAAAATCAAATTAAATCTATTCACGAGATCTTCACTTTCATCTCTGGAACTTTCTGTTACATTGACATATTCAAAATCGTCAGAGTCACTCATTATCCGATAATTATTTCTAAACAAGTTTCGAAAACACTTAGTAAATATTTATTTATGGTTAAATTTTTACTTTTTTAATATTTAACGCAATGATATGATGCCTCAATGCTTATGATATTAACCTTTTGAACACCAAAGAACTGCTTTATAACAAAGAATTCCTTACAAACTTATAGCTAATCATCAAAATTGACCACGTGGTTTACACTAGAAAAATGCTGTATAGTGGTATCATTTATGTTTAATAAAATTAATTATAATCTAGCTTATCCAATTTTACTAGAACGGGTCTCAGACGAGCATTAGAAATAAAATAACGCAAGATTGCCTGTGTGAGACACGGGCATTTACAAGTTAGCCGGTAACTTTCGCCCGTGGAACTTTTTATGCGGGCAAATGCATTAAGGGGTGAAGAATGAGAAAAATTTGCTTTGTGAAAAAAAAAGAAACTCAATCTTCTAAAAATCATTTAATTTTTTTTTAAAAATAATATAAACATCTTCCACCCACTTTAGCCTTCACTTCTAACGTACTGTAATTGAACGCAATATCATAACAAATTAAAAATTTCATAAATATGTATTGTTTTGTTTGTAAATTTATTATCCTTACCATAGAAGAAAACAAGCGAAGAATAGTAAATAAATTTCTACGAGGCTGGTATTTCACACCTCTTCTCTTCCAATAATCATCATTTCTTCTGAGATACCTGAAAAACAAGGTTTATCGCATTATTTCTCCAATAATAGATAGATTAAAAGTAAAGAAAACTGTTGCATTTATCTAAGTACTTGATCTTACCTAATTCAGTTTTCAAATCTAAAATTAGTTTGAAAAGGGAATTTTTAGTTTACTATATGTATGCTACTAAAGTATGAAACGCCGGCATTGTATAGAATGCCGGATGTTTTTAGGCAAAGTATGAAATGTGAGAATTATTACATACTTTCCCTAGGCATTGTATATAATGCCTAGGCATTCTATAGAATGACAAATGCTATTTAGGAAAAGTATGAAATAAATGTTCTGATGAGGTTATTATGTAAATGATGTGGATGCTACTGCGAATGACCGAAATCGGTGGTTGTTGATTTTCACCGGTGAATGTTGACAATCACATAGTCGCTTTGGTGAATGTCAGAAATCACAATTACATTACAACCGATTTGATATTAATTTATTCGTAGATATAATTACATTTATTCGATATTTAAATACTCACTGACGACAGATTAAAAGAAACATCAGTGTTTGAAGTATCGGGCAATTGTATACCGGGCAGTGGCACTGAACCTTAAAAAAACATCAGTGTGGGATATACTGGGCAAATATATACCGGGCAATGGCACTTAACTAGACCTAGTATGACTAGACCTTTGGTAAATGTCCGAAATATATACTAGGTCTAGATAAATGCCACTGTCCGGTATACGTTTGCCCGGTATACCCTACACTGATGTTTTTTTAAGGTTCAGTGGCATTGCCCGGCATACCCGACACTGATGCTTCTTCAAGGTCAAGTGCCACTGATCGGTATGCATTTGCCCGGTATATCCTACACCAGTGGTTCCCAACCTGGGGGCGATCGCCCCAAGGGGGCCGAAGAGGTCCTCATGGGGGCGATAATCCTTAGGGGGCGATCGGGGGGCAACGAGTGTTCAAAAGATAAAAATTGCTAATAATATTAATGACAAAAGTTATTTGAGATCGAAATTGAAAACATATATGAAGCTTATGGTTCTGGTGTAGATAAAGAATTACGATAGTTAAAAATTAAAAAAATTCAAGTTTAGGATCATTTTCGTCATACGTTTTGGTATCGCTGGCGGAAATCTGACGTTCAAGAATTCTCTTTTGTTGAAAGTCATGGTCTTTTATATACCTTCTTCTCCTCAAATGTTCCTCTCTCGTTTCATTCCCATCCCTCCGATTTTAAAAGGCATGTAATAGGAGAAACGAATTGATAGACGAAACATTTATATAACTCTAAACCTCACACAATTGGTAAACTCTTATTTTACCAGATACTAAAAAAATTTTTGAAATCATGTTGGGTGAGGGATCGAACAATAAGATAAAACCTCTGAGCAATATTACTGTTTCCAGGCTTATTGATGAGGTAACCGCAGACGTTGAATCAAAACTCATCAAATTTATGAGAGAAGGTAAATTTGAGTCGCAGATTGATGACTCAACTGAGATTGATAGCAAAGCTATTGTATTAGCTTACGTGAGATTCATAAATGAGAGTAAGGAGATTGGATGAACGAGGAAATGTTGCTTACAAGAACTTTGATCACTGATACAAAATGTTCGTAGATTTTTAAATTGGTCAAAGACTATTTTGTGGAGAAAAAAAAATTCCCCTTACAAATGTAAGTGCTCGTGCGACAGATGGTGCTCCTGCCATGTCTGGTCGTCATACTGAGCTTCTAGCGTACCTTAAAAAAGAAGTACTGGTGGTCATCACCATTCATTGTCAACATTTTTCTGCAAAAAAGTTAAGTGGTGTCCTGCATGACACTTTACAATTCGTTATTTCTGGCATCAACAAAATCAAAGCTGATCCTCTCAATGACCGTTTGTTCTGAGAACTTTGCCTTGAAAATGATGAAGATTTCGAATGCTTGCTCCTACATACAGATGTGAGATGGCTTTCAAAAGGAAACTGTTTGCGTCGTTTTTTCGAATCGTTGACTCGGTTACTGAGTTTCTCGACACCCCTGATCCCGTTTTAAATGAGAGTTTGAAGCAACACAAGTTAGAAACTGCGTACCTCACGGATATTTTTGAAAAAATGTACGAAATCAACATAAAACTTCAAGGAAATAAAGTGAACATTATCAAGGCTAAGGGAATCATATCTTCATTCATCGCCAAGTTTGATATCTACAAGTCAAACATTGGTCGCAAAGAGCTAATGCAATTTCCAACTCTTAGAAAGTGTTCAATTGCAGATATCGAGATTCTCGAAAATAAAATCTTTAATTTTTATTGATCACCTTGACCAGTTAAAACTGATATGGAATCAAAACTTAAAGATTTGATGAAATTAGAAATTCCGGATCGGATTTTCGATCCTTTCTCTTTTGAAGTTGTGGATAAGCTCACTTCCTCTTTGCAGACTGAGTTTTTAGATTTGAAGTATGCTAAAGTCGTCTTTAAAAAATACGGTTACGAGTTAGCTTGGGTAAAGCTTATGGACACTTATCCACAATTGTTGAAACAAACTGAGCCGCTCCTCATCTCGTCATTACCGTCAACAAATTTAGTGGAGAGAGGATTTAGTTCTGTCGTCCAGCTCCTCACAAAGCAAAGAAATAGGTTGGACATTTGCTTCAAAGGAGACCTGCGTTTAAATCTGACGAACATAAAACCTGACATTCAAGCTTTAACTGAAATACACCAATCACAGGGCAGTCATTGAAGTGGTAAAAATGTACTTTCTCACTCTTCATTTTTTTTCTCAAATTTTAGTTGCTAACGTTTTAACTTTTTCTTGATTACATTAAAATATGAATTTTAAAAAATGTACTTTTGTTTTGATTATTCCGTTTTAAATATAATTTCTTTCTCAAAAAAAAGATGCGCAATTTTTTTTAATTAATAAAAATGGCAGGATAAAATTGCCTCCTTATTTGCATTATATTTTAAATTAAAATCAAATATAACTTAGCGTTTGGTTGCTCACAAGCAGCAAAGAATGGTTTTTGAGCAAAAAGAAAAAGGGGCGATGTGTGTCAGCCAACCACAAGAGGGGGGCGATGGTCCAGAAAAGGTTGGGAACCACTGTCCTACACTGATGTTTTTTTAAGGTTCAGTGCCACTGTCCAGTATACATTTGCCCCGATACTCCAAACACTGATGTTCCTTCTAATCTATCGTCAGTAAGTATTTAAATATCGAATAAATGTAATTATATCCACGAATAAATTAATATAAAATCTGATGTAATAAATATTTCGGACATTCCCCAAAGCGACTATGTGATTGTCAACATTCACCGGTGAAAGTCAACAACCACCGATTTCGGTCATTCACAGTAACATGCACATCATTTACATAATAACCTCATCAGGACGTTTATTTCATACTTTGCCTAAATAGCATTTGGCATTCTATAGAATGCCTAGGCAATGTGTGAAATATAAATCATTTCATACTTTGCCGGCTAATTTTAGGCATTCTATACAATGCCGGATTTCATACTTTGCCGGTAACATATATATTACCTGTAATATTTATTAATCATCACTCTCTCTTAGTATTCTTTGCTGTTATTGTGTTTTTGATTCAAATTAAAAGCTTAAAACTAAAATCGATGTTTCTATATTATAAATTAATGATATTACTCTTGATATTAGCACTTATGGTGTATCTTCATTACTCGACATTTCATGATAAGTATTCTTAAATCGGTATCAAAACTTATTAACCGTTTCCCAATTACTATTCGCAATGGAAAGACGTGTCACACGCGTCAAGACAATTTGCCACAAAATCATCAACGTCGTGTTATACACGTAGAAAGGCGATTATCACTGAATTAAAAAAGACGATCATTCACAGAAATATAAAAGTTGGTTTTGATTTCTATGAGTGATCAATTTCTATAAGTTTTAATTAAGCGATTGATATCTATAAATATCTATAAATGATCACTTTCCAAAAGTTTCTGTAAAAGATTAATTTCTATTAGGGATCGATTTCTGTAAGTTATTGTAAAGGATTATTTATAAGGGATAGAGTTCTGTGAGAGATAAATTTGTATAAGTTTCTATAAAGAATTGATTTCTATATGGGATCGATTTCTATAAGAGGTCTATTTTTGTAAGTTTCTATAAGAAATTGATTCCTATAAGTTTCTATAAAAGATCGATTTTTATAAGGGATCGATTTCTATAAAACATTCAGGGAGAGAGAAGAGTTTTATAAACAGAAATCGGCCAAAAATAGTAGCTTATTGATTTACTTTAAATTTTTTTTTTAACTATAGCGAACTACCTCCTTTATTATCTACTTTGTAAATATGCTTTTGTGACATGATAGTTCCTTGCATTCTTTGCGTTGCAGCTCATAAATATTTGCGTACCTTAAAATTTCTGATTTACTTTATTTTTTTAAGCTTCAAAAGTTTTGCTTTGCGAAATGATTGACAAAAAAAAATTTAAAAGCTTATAAAAAACGAAGAACAAAACACATGAAAAATTGATGGTGTTCAATATGGAGAATTTAATTACTCTGTATACATAAAACAAAATAATACACACAAATAATAAACAAACAAACAATAAAAAACAATATAATTCGAACAGATAATTTGCTAGTACAGGATCAATATTAAGCTCTAATTTTCACAACTTTGATTTAAAATAATTTTGACAACTACGATGACTGATAAAGAATTTAATTATGATAAAAGTGATAATCATGATGCGTTGTCCTCAACACGTTGAATACCATGGGGGTCACCGGTGACCGGCACTGAGTTTGTTCGTAGCGCCATGGGGGTCACCGGTGCCATGATTATTAAAAACATATAATTCAAGAAAATTTTTTATTTTTCTAATATTATTATCGTTACTAAAATGGTTTGCAGAAATTAATGCAATATAGAACACACAAAAATTGTTTTATTTATATACACAGAGATGCCAACTTGCTACGGACAACGAATCAATATTTTCAAGTGGTAGTTTATTAATTGTG